CGATTCTCGAGTTTTATAAAACGATTCTCGAGTTTTATAAAACGATTCTCGAGTTTTATAAAACGATTCTCGAGTTTTATAAAACGATTCTCGAGTTTTATAAAACGATTCTCGAGTTTTATAAAACGATTCTGAGTTTTATAAAATCACTTTTGCGGAAAGTAATGATCTCCCTTTTACAGAAGCTATCGCAGACGTTAATTTCGAGAATACGGTTTTCGACACCAACAGTTAGCCCCCCAGTCCGCAATTTCCTGAAGAAATTTTGCGGTCGGATGAAGTTAGGTTTTAATCGGAATCTACGGCTGAGATTCGTCTTATTACGAGTGAGAGCTCTTTTTTTTTCTATAAGTATTGGATCATTACTTCTCATATCTTCCATCTTTCAAGTTTCTCTCCAACTTCTCTCTAGGAAAATTCTGAAGATGTCTTCTTCCCAAGGTGATCAGCAAAACCATGAAGTTCCATCCGGTGACAATCCTCCGGCATATCCACAGGATGCTCAGCTTTCCGAGTTTCTCTTGTTTCAAGATGAGATGGATCATAGCGACGCTGAGGAAGATGCCGTGTCGAGCGACGTACCTCCAGTGGATTCGTCCGTTCTTGCAAGAGAAGTCAAGGCTATTCTAGACGAAACGGCGGATGCAGTAGTGGGCTCCTCGGGCATTGCCACTGAACCGTCGAGTCCGCCTCTCCTTGTAGCCGAAAACGTCACTGTTGCCGCTGAGGTCGGACTAGCCGTAGCCCCCGCCATGACAGAGTCAGTTACGTCTCCAGCCGTGGTCGAACCGGTCGTGGCTCCTTCCGCCGTTGAATCGGTCACAACTCCTGCTGCGGGTTATCCAGTTACGATTCTGGGACCTCCTGCTCCGGTTAAGAGGGTGATTGTCTTAGGGCTTCCGGCGCTTAGCGCGGTGCCGCCTGCTTCAGCGAAAAGCCGCAAGAGAACTCGTCCGAACCCAGACGCTCCTGCGAGAAAGAGAGCCGTGAAGGGTTCCGAGACCGGGGCTTCGTCTAGCAAGACACCGAGCATGATGTC